AGGGATCCCACAAACGTTTTTTTTCATCTCTTGGGGGCGCATCTTTCACTTCCGCTGCATTCCGCAGGCCTTCCGCTGGCGGAGGCGGTCTCGTTTTCCTTCCGCCGACCTTCCGCCGCCCTTCTGCCGCCTTCCGCGGCGGAAGAGATGACAACTCCTTCGATCCTCGAAGGCAGGGCCATTTCTGGAACACCTCATGTGGTATCATCAGCTGGAGTCGGCTGGTCGATGCGCAGTTTTGCGAATCTCAGAAGCGATCTTGGCGTCGAATACTGCCTCGCCGACTCCTCTCCCAAACCTATCAAGATGTTGCTTCGCGAGGCTGTGCTGCGACAGTTGTGCAAGCTTTCTGGGCAGATGATTGGAGTCGATTCAAGGCTGTGCAACGATCATGTACTCCGCGACCTCCGCAGTTCCAAATATACGGCGGTTGAGCAGGCTCGATCCGAGCCAACGTTTGCGGAGTTTGCTGGACCCAAGAGCGAACGGCCCAATGCGGCTATCAGACTGATAGACGAAATCTGGTGTCCGTTGCGTTTGGGACCCTCGGATTCGATTTCCACCGGCGGTGGGTATGCCCAGGGGTCGCGGAGCTCGGAGAAGAACTTATGGAGGACTGGATAGTGTTCAGCAACGGCTTGTTTCCCCATCCTGGAGACTCTCATCCCCGAGCCGACCCTGGGGCGGCTCCTGAGGTTCGCTGAGAAGGTCCTCCTGGGGTTGACGACGAGCAGTTATTCTTGGGGGCTGCAGTGTTTCTGGACGGGTCCTGCGATCGACACGTAGTGGGTGACGTGAGCATGGCAGGGGTAAGATCTTGCAGCAGATGACTCCCAGCAGCAGTTCAAGCGCAAAGGTGGCGTCCCCTTTGGGACGTGTTTCCCCTGACCTCCCAGACCTCGGAGCTTTACGTACTGCAGCTTGTGTTTCCCCCCTGCAGCGAGATACTCAAACTGTCTTGACGTGTGTAAGGCATGTACGCTCGACCGTTCAAGAGAACTGCCGTGCAAAAGGCCCCACGCGGGCCTCATGATTCATTCCGTGGGGCCCCAGTTTTTTTGCGATGGGCTGAAAATCAAGGCCTAAGTGGCCGAGCCAGCGGACCTTTCTCCCGAGGAACTTTTCCTGAAGGTAAGTAACGACGAGGCTGATCGCTCAGCAAGCCTGGTGGCTACACAGCACCCCTAGCCCTCCAATGCCGAATCGGCGAGCCTCGAGCGACTGCTGAAGGACGCTCGAAATGTATCACGCCGTGCAGCTAAGATCCTCACGTCTTGGCCGCACCTCGATCTTCATGATGTGCCGTGTTGTTGCTCCCCCTCGGCCAGCCAGGGGTCGCTGGCGAGGCCCAAAGATGGGAGCACGACTGGAAGCGCTGCTGGGCTTTCTGGAGGTGCAGCAAATGCCTCAGGCTTGGCAAGCAGGCCGCAGGCCTCTCAAGCCCCCCAGATGCGGGGTGTCTGTTCGCGGCCACCCGTGTCTTGCTCTGGAGTGCGCTGCGACGACCGATATTAAGTGTCTGCCTGCGTGGCACAGCCTTCACTGCCCTTGGACAGTTCAAGAAGCCCCGCGGAGAGTGCACACGTCATCTCGCCAAGGCGGCTGACTACTAGTCCAGGGCGAAGCGTGGCAGGCACCCGGAGGAACCTATCCGGGTGGAGAGTATGCCCATCAGGGAGTAAGGCTGGTGGCTGGCAGGGCGTTCGTCACGAATCCTTCCTCCCTTCTCCCTCCTCCCTCCTTCTGACTCATCCTTCTCATCCTCCTCCACCTCCACCTCCTTCTCCCTCCTCCCTCCTCCCTCCTCCCTCCTCCCTCCTCCCTCCTCCCTCCTCCCTCCTCCCTCCTCCCTCCTCCCTCCTACTCCCTCCTCCCTCCTCCCTCCTCCTCTCCTCCTCCTCCTCCTCCTCCATCCTCCTCCCCTCCTCCTCCCTTATCCCTCCTCCCTCCTCCTCCCTCCTCCCTCCCTCCCAGCCTCCCTCGCTCCCTGCCTCCCTCCCTGCCTCCCTCCCTCCTCCCTCCTCCTTCCTTTCCTTCCTTCCTTCCTTCCTCCCCCTCCTCCCTCCTCCCTCCCTCCCTCCCCCTCCCTCCCTCCCTCCCTCCCTCCCTCCCTCCCTCCCTCCCTCCTCCTCCTCCTCCTCCCTCCTCCTCCTCCTCCTCCTCCTCCTCCTCCTCTCCTCCTCCTCCTCCTCCTCCTCTTCCTCCTCCTCCTCCTCCTCCTCCTCCTCCGTCTCGTCCTCGTCCTCGTTCTCGTTCTCGTCCTCGTCCTCGTCCTCGTCTTCGTCCTCGTCTCCTCCTCCTCCTCCTCTTCCTCATCCTCCTCCTCCACCTCCCCGCCTCTCAGGGAGTAGGGAGGCTCGAGGATCAGGGATTGAGGATTCGGGGCGCTATCATCGCATTCCAGGTCCCAGAGGAGAAGGAATGCACCCCCCTGCTGCGGGCCCTCTTCTCCAGACCGCTGCTCTCCCAGACCCTACTGATACCGCTGCTCCCCAGACCTCTCCCGTGGTGCAGTCTGACCAGGATTTCGAAGCGAATCCAGCGGTGGGGACGAGGGCCGCCCAAAACGATGCCCTTACCGCGATTGGCGTAACAAGAAACGCCCACCAGGCATAGTGGACAACGTTGCTGTGTTCAGAACCCCCGTGCCCCACAATTTCAATGTTGAAAACGGGGTTGCCTTGGCGGTGAAGTCTTGGGCGTTTTTATGCCGATGCTTGCATCCCGACAGCGGCCGCGAACGCAACACTGAAATGGGGGGGGTCCGGGGGTGGCACCGTCGACGCAGCAGCGTCTGTGGATGGGCGCTTTGTGCGCCAACAGCGGTATCCCGCCGTCCCTGGGCGCCGTCGCTAACCCTCCTGCAACGGTGCCACGGCCCGCCTGGGCGCGCGGCCGGGGACCGCCTGGGCGCGCGGCCGGGGACCGCCCTGGCGCTGCCGCGGGGCCCTCGGGCGAGCCCTCTGGGCGAAGGGCCGCCTCTCGCCGCGGGAACCCCTGGCCTAACAGCAGTCGCAGTCGCAGGTGGCACAGTCGGACTTGCTTGGACAGGACACGCGAGAGGACGCAAGACCCCTCCGAGGGCCACATCGCCACAGGAGTGCAAGAAGGCACGCGTCGCGAGGCACGGGGCACGAATGTACCCTTGAGCTGGCAGGGTCGACCTGCTGGTCCGGGCCGACTGCAGCGACGCCGCGGTCCCGACGGCACGGTTCCCTGCCCGCCGAGGTGGCGGCGGCCAGTCGCCCGCGGAGAGCCAGAGGCGCCCTCGGCAGAGGAAGAGCGGCTCATGCGCAAGCCGAGGCACGTACGCGCGAACAGCCTGTGGCGGCAGTCGTCGACGCGACACTCGCATTAGAACTATGCTAGAACGCCGATGGCGCGTCATTCGCGAAAAGCTTCCGAGGAAATGTGGCGACGGAGGCGACAAAGCAGCGGATGAGCCAGTTGAAATCACACTTGAAACGAGTCAGCAACCTCTAGCCGATGGGGGCGAAGGCGCAAACGGCAGAAGCTAAAGCACAGGCCGCGACAGCAGCGGCCACGGCCGCGCCAGCGGCGGCAGCAAGACAAGAGGCATCGAAGAATAATCCGCCCGATCCCTTTGGGTTCACCAGGCGTGTGAGATTCTTCACCCACCGCTGCAACCCACACCAGACCACAAACCAAACTGCAAATCGAAGGTGGGCCTGTCCATCCCAACCCGTTCCCAGCGCGATCTGGGCCGATTTGGCCCAATGTCTTCCAGGTCTCTTAAGCTCCGAAGATGCCTGAGACAGCGTTCAAAATCATCCTAGAGGGCTTGCAAGACGGCCAAAGGGCCTCGAAGATAAGAGGACCCACGAGGTTCTACGCGATACTCCAAAAGGACCCGAGAGAGTGCGCAGAGCGTCAACATTCCCCCCAAGATGCTGCTTGCTTTATGTTTGATGTGATCTACAAGTTTCGACCCAAGACGGCCTCATGAGTACACGAGGGCCCCGAGGCCCCTCAAAAAAAACCTTTCCAAGACGACCCGCGAAAGACTCCTGGGGGGGCCCAGGACGGCCAACAAGGCCGCATAGACTAGCCTGGATGCCCCCTGGAGGCCCAGGGGGCGCCAAAATTCCTCGTGAAGCTGGTGGCCATCTGGAGGGGTCTTAGAAACTTGCTGGATCGGTCGGGTGTCGCATCGACGGGGTGCGTGGTGCGGCTCCCAGAGGTGGCCACGGAAGGACACGTGGTGCCTCATGACGCCCTGGTGCTTGGGTGTGTGGCGCGGGAGCCCTGGAGCTGGGCTGCGCACTCGAGATGAGAAACGGATTGCATGCGCGGGCGGGCCGGGAGGCCTGACGGGACGCGCGCACGCACGAACCTCGCCTGTTCCATCCCCTACAGTCGGACTTGATTGGAGAGGACACGCGAGAGGACACAAGACCCTTCCGAGGGCCACGTTGCCACAGGAATGCAGGAAGCATGGGTCTCGAAGCTGGGCGAAGGCTGGTAAATCCGTGGCTGCTAAAACGGCCTTCCCGGAACAAACAGACAAGCGTCCGGAATAAAGCTCAACGCGCCAAATTGTAAACGGGCTGCTTCCCGGAAAGAACAATAAATTTCCCGGAGCTCCGTTCTAGCAGCCACGGGTTTGCCAGCCTTCGCCCGGCTTCTCTGAGGGTCGCAAGACACAGGACGCGAGGGTACCCTTGATCTGGCAAGGTCGACCTGCTAATCCGGGCCGCCTGTATTGCATGCGCGGGCGGGCCGAGAGGCCTGACGGGACGCGCGCACGCACGAACCTCGCCTGTCCCATCCCCTACACTGGCCATCGCTCGGACGTCCATTCCCTGTGCTTTTTTCAGTTTCGTGCGTGGTTTTTGTTCGCCAAATGTGCAAGGATGCTCCTCGATGGTCCTCGCCGAGAAAAAATGCACACGTCCGAGCGACGCCAAGTACACCCGTTCCCTCCACTATCACACTCCCGCTCTCCTTGCCTGCCTGCTGCCCATCCCCGCGGAGCCGGCCTGATTCCGATGAGGTGGTGCTGGTGCGTCTGCGGCGCCTGCAAATGCGTGTGGAAAAGCTCGACGCGGAACACGGAGCCTGCCGCTGCATGCGCCCAGGCGGCGGGGGCTGGAGGGACACAACAATGCACAGACAAAGACCGTCCAGGGATGGGGAGACCACCGCCGATCCAAGAAATCCGGGCGGAGCTCCGAAAGTGTATGCTGATGCCGTTTGTTTTCCTTCGTATTCGAGGGGGCGGCGGGGCAACCAAGCAGGAGGGAAGGGGAAGGCCCGCAGTCCAGCGGGCGCGAGCGCCGAGAGGCGCCCTCCCTGGGGCTCCTCCGGGACCGACTGGTGCTACTGATGCGACCAGGGGCGGTCGCGAGAGTCGCGCGCCCGCTCAGGCGTTGCACATCCGCACACGCCTGCGCATACACCTGCACATACGTACGCGCGCCCACACGCAACACCAAACTCATACACGCATGCGCATGTGCACACCTGAACCAACGCGCGCTTCGCGCGCGCTCAAGATCTAGCTAGCACGGTGTCGATGGCGTCTCCGGTAATCCTGGGGCCTCTGCAGACGCTATATGGCCTCTCCCAGCGACGCAAGTTGCTTCGGCCGAATAGTCTGAGGCCCAAGAACGCAACAAACCACAAACGAATGCCTCAGGAAGTAAACTACATTCAAAATGAGCTCTGCGCGGCCCAAACTAAGGGAAAACTTCCTGAGTGAGTAACCAAACGAGGATTTTTCAGAAGGTACTCGAGGGCAGCTTTGCCCACCGCTTGGGCGCATTGCTTGGCATTGATGAGCATTGATCGGCTCTGCTTGGAACTGTTTGGCGCTGCTTGGCGTTGTTTAGCGCTGCTTGGCATTGCTTGAGAGCCCCGGGGAGCCCAAGGAGCCTGGGCCTGGGCAAAGAGGAACCTGGGGAATGCCCCGAGGAACCCGAGCAGGGAACCCGGACCAAAGAACCCATAGGGGGCCCAAAAATTACACCACACCGCCTCCTCCCTCCCCCCTCCCTCTCGCTGGAAAGAGGAGAGAGGAGGAATCGACGTGGTGGTATATTCTTTGGGCCCCGAACCCAGGGAACGCTTCGGACGAAGGGTGTCGCACCCACTGGTTTCCTTCACCAGCAGGACCCCCCCACGCGAAGCCTAACAGGGGAAGCACGGAAGCACTCTCCTGGAGACGAGAAGGCGGGGAGCCCTCAACGTGTTCACCAAGAAGGCTTGCCCAAGAGTTGCTTTGCATCTTCGGGGGGCCTTTTTGCTGTCCTGCAAGCGGCAGTCTTTTCTTTGTGCGCCGGCGTGGGTTCGACGCGGATTCGACTCGGATTCCAAAGGAACGAAAAACTGCATAAATAAACTTCTGACGGTCCACGCGAATTTCTTGGAACTGAGCTGGACCCCCTCCCTGGCGCGCGGAGCGCGCCAGGCAGCGCCAGAGGCGCCGTCGGGGGGCCCCAGCACAGATCCAAGAAATCCGCGCGGAGCGCCAACAATCTATGTTTATGATTTTTTCTGTTCTTCGAGATTCGACACGGACTCGACACGGACTCGACGCGGATCGCGGCGCGACGGGACGACACAAGACCCCCCCGAAAGTGCAGCACAGCTCGGCTGCGGCCGTCGGAGGCGGATCACCAAGAGCTCCGACGTCGCCTTTAATACAGGGGCCCAGGGACACACAAACAGGATCAAATAAGCATACTCAGATCCAAGAGTTTCCCAAATTTTCAATACCCAGTCTTCCCCCCCACTGTCCATAGTTACCCATATTTTCGTGGGAATCGACGATTCTTTGTGTCTGTGTGTTTTCCCCTTCCTGCTTAGTGCTCATCGCCTGGGACCCGGGGCTCTCGGCCAGTGCGGACGGCAAGGCCTACGGTCAGCGCGCCCAGTAAGGACGCGCGCCTTCCTCTACATAGGGCACCCTCGTGTCCTTGCCGTGGGCCCCCTGGAGATGCAACACGCCTATCAGAATATTGTTTAAGGATCGGTGGGTGCCAGGACTGCGCCGGTCGGTGTTCCTCGGGCTGCTCGGTCTTGCTAGGGCTGCTCGGTCTGGTTCCCTGGCTGCCCTCCTCGGGTTACGCGGTCTTGATTCTTTGCTGCCCAGCAATGCCAAGGAGTGCCAGGCAGCGCCAAGCAAACCCAAGCAATGCCAATACATGCCACCCCAGGCAACTCAATGCCGAACAATGCAAACCACGGCCAAGCAATGCCAAGCAATGACAAGCAGTGCCAGGCAATGACAAACAACGCCAAGCAACGCCAGGCAATGCCAATCAATGCGAAGCAACCCTGGGACATACCAGGCAATGCCAAGCAATGCAATGCAACGTAAAGCCACGCAAACCAATGCCAAGCAAAACACATAATTTCAAAACAACGCACAAAACAATGAATGCAAAGCAACGCCAAGCAACGCCAAACAACGCCAAGCAAAACGAAACAATGGAAAATAATGCCAGCCTTACTTAGACCTTACTCAAAAAAACTGTTCCCTAATTGGGGTCGCACTGGGCTCATTGAGTGATCTGAGCGGGGAAGGAGCCATATCGGGGCGAACGAAAAACATATCCATCGCAATTCCAATCGGAATTGCGCACCCGTAAGATCCACCGCAGCTCCGCTCACACGTGTCGTTTCCACACTTCAAGCCGTCCATCCCAGGCCCAAGAGAAAAACGTTCGCCCTGGGGGTGCGTTCAGCTCTGGCAGTGCGGACACCCCTCGGCCCCTCACGGCGGGAGTTGATGTCAGGCTCTGACATCTGAGCTCGTCCTGTATGGGGCTGAACCTAAACGGTGTTTTTCGTTTTCGTCTTGTTTTCGCTGTCCCTCGTTTTGTCTTCAATCCACCTCTGCCGCCAAACGAAGTCGAAGCGAAAACGGCCCACGAAAACGCCAAAACACCGTTTAGGTCCAGCCCTGCGTCCTGCATGGGAAGCAGGCGAGGAGCAGATGAGATGCCGCAGTGCTCTCCTGACTGCGGATGGCCTAAATGGGCCCGGCACTGATGCCCCACGCTGCTCAGGAGCCATGCTCAGGAAGTGTCCCGAAAGGCTCCCAGGAGGCCTCTCCCTCAAGCACTGCAGGCATGGCGGTCTGTCCACCGAAGCCCGCGCCGCGCGCGCCCGAGCGGGGAGGCGGGACCCACGGGGCCGACAGAAAAGTGCTGCGGCCTAGGTCACAAGTCCCCCCGGCCACCACCTCCATAGTGGAGGACATACTCCCTCTCGCGCGATCGACGCGGAGGTGGTGGTGGGGAGGACAAATTATGGTACACGATTGTGGGCCCCCCACCCATCAGGAGAGAGCCAGAAGACATATGATAAAGGCGGGAGGAAGGAGCGGAGGGGGGCCCACAACCTACTGTTTGAGGGGGGGGAGGGGGCGCCCACGGGGCCCAGGTGTCAGTAGTTGGGGTAGATCTCACCCCCCTCACGGCCGCCAGCGCCCCCAAGTGTGTCCCTGGGGGCCGGCGCGCTCACCGCCGAGGGGGCGATCACCAACCTGTACTCCGTGGTGCGGTTCTCGCCGTTGGGGTCCATCATGGCCGTGCCCAGGAATCCGCCGTAGGGGTCCATCTTGGCCATGCCGTGGGGGTTCATCACGGCCTTGCCTATGATGTCCTCGATGGCCATGCCTATTATGTCCTCGATGTCGCTTCCGTTGTTTGAGCAGGCCTCGCACATGATGGCTGTGAATCCTTCCGTGGTTGTCGTCTGCTGGTGATGTCTTAGCAAGAGGTGTTCGTGGATGCTGAGGCGGCGGATGTCTCGGTCCAGCACGATGGTGGGGGTGGTCGTAGCTAGCGTGTCGTATGCTGCGGTGAGCGTTCTAAACATGGTGTGGCTGCCTTTGGTGACTTCTCGTTGCTGTCGTGTGCTCAGCTGTGGTCGTCCCCATGGGTGTTGCTGGTTTCTTGTTTGCCTGTCGGCTTTGAAGGAGTCGATGTTGGCGTCGACGATGTGCAGCGCCACTCTCCCTTCTGAAGTGCATGCTCGCGCGTAGTGGATCGTGTCGTCGCCTTCGTCGATGTCGGTGCGCATAATGCGTATCTCGATTGCCGTGCTATGTCGGTTGACGTGCCGCTGGATGGCGGTGGTTAACTCGCTGTTGGTGGTGTCGTTGGCGGTGGTGGTTCGGATCGTAGTAGGTGGTTCTCTGTCTTGGTTGGTGGGTGGTTGCCTCGGTTCGTTGCCATGTAGCTCGCTGAGCGAGCTTGTCCCCTCGGGGATGCTGGTTGGGATCGGTGCACGTGTGTCTTTGTTATGAATTTAGGTCCTATCGGCGGTCCGTACGTCTGTAGTGGCGGTGCCTCGGCGTAGTCGTCTGGGAGCCCATTGTGCCTATCGTGTCGTCTCACAAGTCGGACCTCTGTTATGTTGGCGTCAACCTCTTCGGCTGTAGCTCTGTCGTTGCTCGCCATCCAAGAAGCGGCACATGTAGTAGACGTCTTGACGTGCTTGATGAGCCTGTGCGCCGCGGTGGTCTGGAAGGTTGCGCCACAATGGTAGCACATGACGGGCGCTGTCTTGGTCGCCCTAAGCTCCTCGTCGTCGTGCGGTTGTGCAGGTCGAAGTCCGATGGTTGCCGCGGTGTTGGATGTCGTATTTTCCCAAGTGGTTCGTTTCGTCGTCTCCGTGTGCTGGTCAATGGCCCTGCGGTACGCGTAGGAGAGGATAGCTTTGAGGTGGCTGGTGTCGTACCGCGCCATTGTGATGAGCTCGGTGATATCTTTAGGGGCTTGTTCGTGTCGTATGTGGTCGCAATGGCGACGGTAATGCTGCAGGTCATTGGTGATGGTCGTAGCCCATTCGCCGCCCCGCTCTATGTCGTAGTCTGCAAGTGCTTGTAGCTCTGGTGGGCTGTTGTGTGCAAGACGTAACACCTGGCGTAGACGAAGCCGTCGCAGTCGCTCGGGCAATGTTGGTAGGGCCGCTCGTGCGAGGATCTGATCGTTGGTAATCCGATGTAAGCGCATCTTGTCATGCGTGATCCCGATAGCCTGTCGTGCCGCAGATACGTAGGCCGTCGTCAATCTGTTCAGGTTAAGGCCTCTCCCTCCTCCTCCTCCTTCCTCCTTCTTCCTCCGTCTCCTCCTTGTCTCTCTCCCCCACGTGCTCCCCCAAGGGCTTCCCCAATGGCTGGGGAGAGCACATAGTCCGATAGCTTGGCCGAGCTCGGGCCGCAACGTTCGGTCCCGTATGAGGCTCCAGAAGGCAGGGGGCGGCGGTGATTCGCAGCGGGCATCTTCGATCCGCCGCCACCACATAGTGGTTTTGCCACAGGGGTGCACGGCGCCAGACTTCTGAGTGATTTGGGGTCTGCCGAAAAGTTCCCCGTTTGGTCGCGCCGGGCGCGCGGAAAGGTCTCTCCCGTCGGCTTTCTCGCCCAAAATGGCTCCAAGATGACCCGAAGACGGATGGCCCCCAAGATAGCGCAGATGGCCTCCAAGACGGTCCCAGAAGCCTTCCAGACGGACAAGACAGCCCAGAGCCCAAGACGGCTCAAGATGGCCCTCAGATGGCCCAAGAAGCCCCCAAGACGCTCCAAAAGGGCTCCAACAGGACCTCCAGGAAACCCAAACTGGTCTGCGTGAGCATGCTTTACGTGCAGCGCGGCCTCTTCTGCCCCATTTCGGTTATCCTTCCACCCTGGCATCGCCCTCGTGTTTTGTTCCAGAGGGGAGGTCAGACACAAAACATGTGGCGGGTTGGGGGCTGAGAGGTATTGTGTCGGGGGGCGGGCTGAGGAAACAAAAAACACACCAACATACGACGGGTTGCCGAAGCATTCCTCAGGACTCCTCCTCCTCCTCCTCCTCCTCCTCCTCCTCCTCCGCCGCCGGCGCCGCCTCCGCCTCCGTCTCCGCCTCCGCTTCCTCCTCCTCCTCCTTCTCCTCTCCCCCTCCTCCTCCCAGGGGGTCCTTGGGGGGGGATTCTGGCAGGCTGGGGGGGCTGCGATTTGATTTTCCGAGGGGGGGGCAGCTGAGGAAACAATCGAAACTCCGACATACAACACATTGCCGAAGCATTTATCAGGACTCCTCCTCCGCCTCCTCCTCCTCTTCCTCCTCCTCCTCACCCTCCTCCCAGGATGTCCTGAAGGCTCCTTCTTGGAAATTCTGATGAATCTGCAGCACACCCTAAGGAACGAGGGAGGTTTCTCCTTCCATGATTCGAAGCGGAACCCAGGAATCCTCAGGATGTTTCTGGAATTACTCAACATGTCCTAAGGATTTTCTGCGGCGTCCCCTGAGAAATCTGTCAGGAATCCCTGAGCAGCGCCGTGGAATGCGGTGATACGATCTCGGCAAGAGAGCGTTCATGTGCAGTTCTGTTGAATCCAAGCGCGGTTGCCTCGTGGGCGCTTCAGGACAAACTTGAGCCAACGTTGCGATGAACTTATAGTGAGGAGGAGCGGGAGAGGAATGGGCACAGTGGAACGGATGTTGTGGACTGTCATCTCATAGCCGCCGCCTGAAGCTCCCTGATGCTTCCGAGGGCGTGCGCCAGGCCTGGCAGAAGCCAGAAACGTTTCGGGAGCGGCCAAGAGGGGGGTGTCCAAGAGGGGGGAATGCAAATCATGACCGGCGGCACGACGTGCGCGGCCCATGGGGGGGGCCCCGGACGCAATGACACAAGAGGAGGCGCCATGAAATCTCGGGAATATCATGGCCCCCGCCGTGATATCCACCCCCCCCTGGTCATCACCCCCCTCTCTTCCGTCCCCGAAGAAATGTTTGCGCGAACTCTGGCCTCGAAGCGGGCCCGCTCCGGGGCCCAAGGGAAGCACTGGGTCGGCAGCTTCGCAGGGCATGCCCTCCAAGCGGATCCCGAGAGAGAGGCCCACAAAGGGGGCACGCGAACGGACGCGTCGAGACCTCTGCCGCAAGATTACCCCCGAGACCCCCAAGAAGCTCCAAGAGGCCCCCAGGATGCTCCTTAGAGGCCCCCAAGAGGCCGCCAGGAGGCTACAAAGGGGCCCCAAGAGGCCCCCAAAAAGCTGGCCGAAGGCCGCTACACCTGCTTGGCACGGGCACGGGAGGCGCAACTTACTTTGCGATGGCGCGAGATCGCTGGCGTGTCCGTACTTCCTCATCATACGTCCTCGCTTCCCCTCGCCCTTGTCGCATCCTTCGGGGGTCTCGGGGCCCTCTTTTTTTTCGACGCCCGTCGCCAGAGAATGGTGTGTAGAGCCAGAGGCTCACGAGGAGCTCCCCATCGCCGCGGCCGATGGCTCACCTGGGTATGGTATGCCCTCCCTGCCCGCCGCAGCGCTCCAAAGGGGCCGCCAGGCCCCCACGGGCAGGCACCCTCCGACCGTCCCCGAAGCACATGCGGCCGGCCGAAGCTGGCAGGCGTGCGCCCGAAGCTCCTCCTCCGCCTCCACCTCCACCACACCTCCTCCACCACCTCCTCCTGACAGTCGTAGATAATTTGTCAGATTCGCATATAGTTGCTTCCTATGACTAAACTCGCAGATACGAAGGCTGCCCCAAATTCGCAGATAATTGCTTCCTATGACTAAAAAAACCGTGGCGAGTTGGTCGAGCCTGCTAAAATCATCTGACTTTTGCTGGCGTGACTCTCCAAGCTTTAGCTCAACGGTTGCCGAAACAATTGGAAAGCTGGTCATGGAAATCCGCCGACCCCTTGGGGTTCATCGGCGTGTGAGATGTTCCCCCTCCCCAAACCCCTCCCCCGGGAGCCCGGTCCGGTCGATTTGGAGGGGGGGGGGTCTCCCCAAAAGTCCCGGTTCCCCCGGTGCCATCCGCTCCCGAAAATCGTGCAAAACCTCGCGAAAATCGTGCAGGGACTCCTCTGGTGGCCCCGAAATGGCTCCGGGGCGCCCAACGAGCTCTCCAAGACGCCCAAGGTGTCCCAAAGACGGGCTACGAGGCCTCCTCGACGGTAGAAGAGGTCGCCACGAGTCCCCCAGAGGCCTCCGAGATGCGTTCCAAGAAGGTCCCTAGACGCAAAAATTGGCCCATTCCCTTCGTGAAACGTACAGTTTTCATAAGTTCGGTTTCTGGGTTCTCCAATGCTAGAGGGCCCCAAGACGGGCCAACAGGCGTCCAAGACGGCCCAAGAGGGCTCCGAAAACGGCCCCAAGAGCGCTCCAGGAGCGCTCCGAGTGGCCTCCAAGAGAGCTCCACATGGTCCCAGACGGTCCAAGAGCGATCAAAAACATCGACGACGGCCTCCCGACGGCTCAAGAGGCCCCCAAGACGCCCCAAGAGGCATCCAAGATTCGCCCCAAGAGGGCCTCTAGACGCAACAAATCGCCCGTTCCTTTCGTAAAACGTATATTTTTTCAAACGAGCGTCTTTTGGGGTGCCCCCCGCTCCTGGACGGCCCCAGAGCCCCCCAAACCCGCTCCCAGACGGCCCAAGACGCCTCCAAGAGGGTCCCCACATACCCCGAGAGGGCCCCAAGACGGGACGGCCCAAGAGGGCTCCGAAAACGGCCCCAAGAGCGCTCCAGGAGCGCTCCGAGTGGCCTCGAAGAGAGCTCCAAATGGTCCCCTTGGGAGACTCTCGAGCTGTCTTCGGGCCCTCTTAAGCAGGTCTTGGAGTCCGTTTGGGAGCCTCGCGGGCCGTCTTGGAGCGATACTAAGACGACGTCGACAGCATCTCAAGCTTGGATGTCCCTTGCGAACTCGCCATTTGGGGTAGGAGCGATACCAAGACGTATACCAGGGTGCGGTCCCATCCCCTTTTCCAGACGTCTGGGCTCCCCGAGTTGAAGCCGGCATGCGTGCCACTTGCGCTGGCCAAGACTGGACGTCTGCAGCAGAGGAGAAGGATGCGAGGGAAGGACGCGAGAGAGAGAGAGAGAGAGGCTGAAGAGGACCCAGGACACACAAATAAATACACACATAAACAAATCCCCCAGATGTTCCCATATTTTCTGTGTTTTTGTCTTCCCCCCACTTCCCATATTTTCCTGGGGATCGACGATTAATTAGGTCTTTGTGTTTTTTTTCCATCCTGAGAGGCAGCGAGAATGACAAAGAGCACCGAAGGCACCGCTCAGATCGGGTCGGGCGAAAAGGGGGGATAGCAAAACGGGGGGGGATGAGAATCAGCTCACGTAGCTGATTTTCCCAGCGCCTTCCGGGAGGCGCCCGTGTATCGAGGAATCAAGGGATCCCAACTTCGCGCTTCGCGCTGGGCGAAGCGCGAAGTGCGAATAACTTCGCGCTCTCGCGCCGCCGCCCAGGGGAGAAGAAGAGGATGAGGAGGAATCGGAGCCGAACAGCGAAGCGCGCATCACTTCGCGCCCTCGAGGGGCGCCCTCGAGGAATGGGCCCGGCGGCGAGGCCGAAACCAGCTGCATGCAGCAAATTTCGTACAGTGAAAACGTATAGTAAGGACGCGTGGTGAGGACGCAAGACCCTTGGAGCCGGAAGTTGAAGAATTCTGGGCGGCAGGCGGCCAAACCCCCAGTGAACCTGAGAAACTGGCCTGCGAAAACTGCGAGGGACGGGCCGCAGAGGCTGAGGCAGGCAAGGACCCAAGGGTACCCTTGAAAAAGTCGTTTGTCCTTACTATGCGCGTTGACTGTAACCCCCCTGTGCCTACCCCCCCCTTTCGTTCGGCCCGACCCGAGGGCACCGCCCAGAACCGGCGGGGGCGCCCAGTCCTCGGCAGTCCCGCAGATGCACGTGCGTCGCGGCCGCCAGCCGCCCGCCGCCGGGCGACATGGTCTGCCGCTCGCCTGCCCGCGACCGGGCCCATCGCTCGGACGTCCGTGTCCTGTGTTTTTTTCGGTGTCGTGCGTGGTTTTTTCTCCTAATGATCAAGGATGCTCCTCGATGGTCCTCGCCGACCGAAAAATGCACACGTCCGAACGATGCCAAGCTCGTGGAAGGACAACGCTGAGCTGGGGACTGGCTCGGGGGGGAGACATCGACCTCCGATCGCGAGGACGGGGAGCAGGGAGAACGGGGAGGACGGGGAGGAGGGAAAACGGGAACGGGAGCAGGGAACGGGGAGGTTGGGGAGGACGGGGAGCAGGGAGAACGGGGAGGACGGGGAGGAACGAGGAGGGAGGAAAGAGGAGGGGAGGAGGGGTGAACGGGTGAGGGATTAGGGCGGGGAGGAGAGAGGACGGAGAGGGAGCCTGGAGCAGGAGAGACTGGGAAGGGACGCGAAGGAGTACACTCGGCCTTGCTTGGAGAGGACACGCGAGAGGACACAAAACCCTTCCGAGGGCCACGTCGCTACAGGAATGCAAGAGGCATGGGTCGCGAGACACAGGACACGAGGGTACCCTTGTTCTGGCAGGGTCGACCTACTAACCCGGGCCGACTGTATGATATCCAGGGAGATACCCTGGCCCCTGCCACGATTCCCCCCCCAAGTCATCACCGCCGCATGACGTGGACCCCCAAAGGCCTGGAGTTCTTCCCCATGGCCGGCTTTTCATCCCGAGCCGTTTTCAAATGGTCCGCGGGCCCGGCGCGGGCCGAAAACGGCGCTGTGATTTTTCGATACGCGATACCCAGAAGTTTCGACCTTTCCCCAAGGCAAGTTTTTCATCCCGAGCTGATTTGCTGACGGTCCCGAGGCAAGACGAAGCATTTCAGGGATCCCCTCGCCTGACGCCGAAGAGGACGTCAGCTGCAGGAAGCGCCTCCGGTCCTCCTCCGAAGGCATGAACGTGGTGAGCGGCTTGCCCTGCCCAGTGCCCAAGAAGAGCGCGGGGCGAGAGAATGAAGGACGAGGAACGAACGATGAACGACGCGCGAGGTGTCTCCGGCAGGGGACGGGCCAGCTAGCGGCCTACGTGGCGGCTCACCTGATCAGATGCAGAATTCCTTCACGGTGCTACTCAGAGATGCTGAGCAATCTTATTCCTGTACTAGAACCACGCGCGCGCTTCGCGCGCGCTTAGGTTCCAGCAAGCGCAGGCTCTTGACAATACCACAGCTGCGCGCATTGACAAAATCACGGCTGCACGAATGCACGTACCGACGAATGGTTTCAGCAGGGTTTGAAACATCAACATGAGCCTGGCCCCAGCAGAGAAGGGTCTCTTGGGCGCCGCGGGGGGTTAGTCCAGGGTCTCGTTGGGTGTTTGCGGCCCATCTCACTGTGGAGCTCACGCTGTGCAAGATGATTACTCGATCAAGCGAGGCCATATGTATGGGGGAGCGGGCAAGGAGGGACTGAGGGGAGGGGGGCGAGAGAGAGGAGGGAAGATAAATAATGGAACCGATGCCCCAGCGTCCGCTTGTGGTTCGGACTGATCTCAGCCATCTTGCCCTTCTCTTGGGGCCGTCGTGAATCCTGGGGCCAAATCAACAGGAGGGCAACGGATGAAGCCGCCACCGTGCCTGTGTTGTGGGTCAGAGGCATATTGGATGCTTGTTGGGGTCTCTTGCGAAGCTTCCAAAGAACATGTTCGAGGCAATTCTGATGCCTCGCGGGGGTCGTCCGTGGCTGCTTGCGGACTGTAGGGGCTTCTTTGGGGCCTTCAGTGGGCTTCGTGGGGCCTCTGGAGTGGTTCTTGGGGGGAGGCAGTTTTGAAATGTTTCGAAGCCTCTGGGGGGCCGTTTTGGGGCATCTTGGGGCCTCTTTGGGGTCTCTGACGGGGGCATGTTTAAGCCTCTTGGGGCCTCTTGGGGGCCTCTTGGGGGCCTATTGGGGCGGAAATCTCCATTGTCGGTTCGTGTTCCCCCTCTTTGGCACCTCTTGGGGCCGTCTTGACGCCCTCTTGGGCCGTCTTGGGCGCCTCTTGGACCGTTTGGGCGCCCTCTTGGGCTGTCTTGGGGGCCTCTCGGGGGCCTTTTGGGCCGTCTTGGGGCGATGTTCGAGGCTTCCTCGGCAATCTTGGAAGGTCCGAAGCCCGAAAACGCGGGCAAGCAAAAAAACATTGAAAAACACAATGAAAATCTATGATTGTTGCCTCTTTGGGCTCTCTTGGAAAGCCTCTCGGAGCGCCCCTGTGGCTTCTTGGGGGCCCCTTGGGCCTTGATGGGGCTATCTTGAGAGTCTTGGAGCGCTCTTGGGTCGTCTTGGCGGCTTCTTGCCGTCCCCGGAAGCCGTGGTGGACGCCTCCAGGGGCGCAAAAGAGCCTCCGGACGCCCGGGGGCAAAGTGGGTTACGGGGGGGGGGGGAAATTCGGGAGGGTGTCCCGGCCCGGGGCCCTGGCCCCCGGTTTCCAAGTATATGATACATACATACATACATACATACATACATACATACAAACATACATTACATTACATTACATTACATTACATTACAATACATTACATTACATACATACATACATACTTACATGCATGCATGCATGCATGCATGCATGCATACATACATACATACATACATACATACGTACGTACGTACGTACGCACGCACGCACGCACGCACGCACGCACGCACGTACGTACGTACATACATACATACATACACACAGGCATACACATACACACATGCACACATGCTAGAGGGGGTCGGCGTAGATGGGGCCGGAGGATCGCACCGCATCGCCAACACATCGGCGATGCATCGCCGATGCATCGGCGACTCCAGCGTGGAACAATTCGGGCTCCACATCGAGCCGCATCGCCGATACATCGACGATACGGCGCGATCCTCCAACCCCATCGACTCGGACCCCAACTGGGATGCCTGGAATACTTTCTGGCAATGGAAACAATTGGTTTTCAAAGTGTCTGATCTTGAAAAACTCTGCGTGGTGACGCCCCCGCTGCCAATGGCTTCCGACGGCCCAGAAAGGCCCAATGGCTTCCGGAATATTTTGGCCAAGCGGCTCGGCGTCCGACGCCGCGCAGAGGTCGACAATATGCGGCGGCACGTTTGAAACGATTTTAGCGTTCTCATTTGTTTGGCTTCCGACGGCCCAGAAAGGTCCAAAAGGCCCCCAAGATGGCCCCAAAACAGCCCGAGAGGCTCTCAAGAAGGCCCCAGGACTGCCCAAGGGGGCCCCAAGATTGCCGAAGAAGCCTCCAAGAAGGTCCCTAGAGGGTTCCAAGACGGCCCAATAGACATTCAAGACTGCCCTGAACCGCCCCAAGAAGGCCCCAAGGCGGCCCAGAGAGGACTGAAAGACGGCCTCCGCAGGCGTCAGACGACAGAAGACGGCCCAAGAGGCCCCGAGAAGCTCCCAAGAGGCCCCCAAGAGGCCCTCAGGAGGCCCCCAAGAGGCCTACTGCCTCCTCCTCCTCCTCCTCCTTTTCCCTTTGCTCCCTCTTCTCATCCTCTCCCTCTTCGGCACCCGACGCTGGGGTTAGTTGGCCAAACACAGCCCTGGAGGACCTCCAGGGCTCTCCGAAACCGCCCCACAGAAGCCCAAGGCAACCCCAGAAACAGGCCGATGACGACGGGGGGTGGTTTGTCCAGAAGAGAAGACGCTCGGTACCACACGCAACACATCCAGCGCATCCTGCATCTCGGGCCAAGCACGCGACAGCCCCATCCAAACCCCGCACAAGCGTAGGTGGGCCCCTAGACAATCCGGGCAGTGTTCATGAGAGCCGGGAGAAACGTGATAACAAGAGGTGTCGAATTTGACGACTCAGAAGGGCTAGTCCACAAGGGAAGACGAAAGCTGTCACGTGTGACCCATCCTGCGCATCCTACGCCTAGACGGCCGCGTAGAGCCTCCAGGTGCCCTCGAACTACCCCACATGAGCGTAGGTTAAGCCCAATTGAACCTAAGCAAGGCGCAAGAGAAGGGCGAACGCCCGCAAAGATATTTTAGCCAAACGGCTTCCGGAATATTTTGGCCAAGCGGCTCGGCGTCCGACGCCGCGCAGAGGTCGACAATATGCGGCGGCACGTTTGAAGCGATTTTAGCGTTCTCATTTGTTTGGCTTCCGACGGCCCAGAAAGGTCCAAAAGGCCCCCAAGATGGCCCCAAAACAGCCCAAGAGGCGCCCAAGAAGGCCCCAAGACTGCCCAAGAGGGCCCCAAGATTGCCTAAGAGGCCTCCAAGAAGGTCCCTAGAGGGTTCCAAGACGGCCCAATAGACATTCAAGACTGCCCTGGACCGCCCCAAGAAGGCCCCAAGGCGGCCCAGAGAGTCCTCAAAGACGGCCTCCGCAGGCGTCAGACGACAGAAGACGGCCCAAGAGGCCCCAAAAAGCTCCCAAGAGGCCCCAAGAGGCCCTCAGGAGACCCCCGAGAGGCCTACTTCCTCCTCCTCCTCCTCCTCCTCCTCCTCCTCCTCCTCCTCCTCCTCCACCTTTTGCTCCTGCGTCTAATCCTCTCCCTCTTCCTCCCCCAAGTGTTTGTTCCCACGGGTTTCCACAACGGCTGTGGGAACACATAGCCCAATACCTTGGACAAACTTTGGCCCAACGTTTGGCCACATAAACGTTTCCAATAAGGCAAGGGGGCGGTGGTGATTCGCATTAGGCGTCTTCAATAGAGACAAGAGGTGTCACAAAAGCTGCGCTGGCACGGTGGCGGGGCATGCCGCAGACAGCTGAATATAAAAACGGTGTTCGTACCTTCTCTGATATCACGAGAGTCCCGAGCCAAATCCAGTAGGTGGGCCTCAGGGGCGCACTTGGGCTGTTTTGGGCGCGTCTTGGGCCGCCTTGGGGCTCTCTTGGGCCGTCTTGGGGCCCTCTGGGGCGCCTCTCCGGCTGTCTTGGGGTAGTATTGGGGGCTTTCGATGTCGTCAAGAAGTGTACGACAGCGAAAACAATTGATATGGTAAAAATATACGTTTCACGAAGGGAATGGGGCTATTTTTGCAATTTGGAGATCTCTTCGAGCGCGTCTTGGAGGCCTTTTGGGGCGTCTTGGGGGCTTCTGAAGCCGTCTGGAGGCAATGTTGGGCGTCTTGGGTGACCTTTGGGCGTATTAAATCCTTTCTGGTAGCTTTTTGTAAGCCTCAGGGGCGCACTTGGGTTGTTTTAGGCGCCTCATCGGCCGTCTTGGGGCTCTCTTGGGCTGTCTTGGGGCCCTCCGGGGCGCCACTTAGGTTGTCTTGGGGCGGTCTTGGGAGCCTCTGATGTGGTCAAGAACTATACGACAGCGAAAACAATTGAGGTAGTACAAATATACGTTTTGCGAAGGGAATGGGGCTATTTTGCCCTTTTGGAGATCTCTTCGGGCGCGTCTTGGAGACCTTTTGGGGCGTCTTGGCGGCTTCTGAAGCCGTCTGGGGCGATGTTGGGCGTCTTGGTGCGACCATTGGGCGTCTCGGGTCGCGTTTGGAACGTCCCGAGTCCTTTCTGGTAGCCTTTTGTGGGCCTCAGGGCCGCACTTGGGCTGTTCTGGGCGCCTCTTGGGCCGTCTTGAGGCTCTCTTGGGCTGTCTTGGGGCCCTCTGGGGCGCCTCTTGGGCTGGCTTGGGGCTGTCTTGGGGGCCTCCGGCGTCGTCATGAACTGTACGGCAGCGAAAACAATTGATGTAGTAAAAATATACGTTTTACGAAGGGAACGGGGCTATTTTTGCCTTTTGGAGATCTCTTCGGGCGCGGCTTGGACGCCTTTTGGGGCGTCTTGGGGGCTTCTGAAGCCGTCCGGAGGCAATGCTGGGCGTCTTAGAGCGACCTTTGGGTGTCTCGGGTCTCTCTTGGAGCGTTTTGGGGCTCTCCTGGCGCTTTCTAATGGCATTCTGTGGGCCTCCGGCGCCTCCAGAGCCCCCGGTCCCCACATTTGCGGTCGTGGTCCCGGCCCCGGGCCCCCGGACCAGGT